AGAAGAGGCAGAAACCTGGGAGGTGGCAGAAGAGGGAGAAACTTGGGAGGGGACGGGGGTGGAAGGCATAGTACGAGGAGGAGGGTGAATCTCCACACTTGTAATAGAGCGGAAGAACTAGGTACAGAGACTGGAAAGGTAAAGTGTGGAGGTGGAAGAGGCAAAGAAGATTTGAGCAATGTGGATTTTTTGGACTTCTGAGAAGTAGAGGGGCGATTGGTATTAGGTGTTGTACGAGGTCTTGTCGATACTGGAGCGTGTGAGGAAGGACGCAAAGATGTGAGAACAGACTGAGTTGTAGTCGGAACGTCAGAGCCAAGGACAGCAAAAGGATTAGATGCCGGAGTGGCTATGGGAGGTGTAACAACAGAGGAGGCTGCAGAAGATGGGACCCCAGAAGTGGGGGGATGTTTGGAAACACGGGGTAGTCTCCCTTGGAGGCGGAGATGAGTAACTGCCATAGCATAAGGGAGACCTGCCTCTTTGAGGCAACGGATTTCATGTTCATTTAAGTAGACCAGGCAACGGCGGGAGTACGAAGGGTGAGCTTCATTACAATTAAGGCAAGATGGAGGTTGACTGCAAGATGTATTAGAATGGTTGTCGGCACCACAGACTGGGCATTCAGCCATAGATCTGCAATATTTCGCTGGGTGACCAAAACGCCAGCAATTTCTACATTGTTGCGGTGTAGGTATCACCTTTCGAACTTGTAACCGATGTCCAGCAACATATACAGAGGACGGGAGTTCTCGGCTGTCAAAAGTTAAACGAGCCACATTGCAAGGGTAACGTCTCCGCCCCCGGGCAGGAAGGACATAAGTGTCTACTTTGAGGATTGGGAGATCCTAGAGTTCCAGCTGTTCAAAAATGTCATTGCCACATGACTGGAAATTCTGTTGGACTATGGTATGGGGCAGAATGACAGTACCACTACAAGAATTGAGAAAGATGTTTTTCAATAGTGACAGGAGTAGTATCGATATTCGAAAGGAGAGAAAGATCATGAGCTTGGGCAGCATTCTGGACAGTGACGATGCACATACCGCTCTTGGGAGCATGAAATGAAATATCTCTACCAACATGACGCAGGAGCGCTTTGCCAATATTATGGTCAGAAAGGTAGGCAGAAGAAGAAGTCGGTCTTAAGTAAAGAATTTAGTCCATTGTGTGGTCCGAAACTAAGCGTGGAGAGGGAGTGCTTGACGTGTCGGTCTTTTCCGAGTAGAATGGAAAGGTAACGAAGGAGCATCATCAGGACGTTGGCGTTTAGGAGTAGGACCGGCGTGAAATGGGCGGGCGATTCGAAAATTGCCGTACTGTAGAGGGAGAAGCCGGAAGCATAGTCAAAGGAGAGCGGAGTTCAGACAAATCGAAGGAGTCAGTCAAAGCCCCTGTACCTGAAGCGGGTGAGGAAACAGCACCAGCAAGAGGTACAGGGGCATCAGGAGTGTCCGAAGAGTGGTCTAAACACAAGGCAGGGTCAGAATGGGGTGCGGTATCAAAAAGGGGCCCGGGGGTAGTGGGTTCATGGACTAGGGCTGCCATGGTTAGGTTACTCCTTTGCTTTTTGTTTTTAAGAAAAGAAAATAAAAATAAAAAAAGGGGGGAGCGGGGAGGAATGAAAGGGCCGGAAATCTCCCTCCGCGCCCAAGAGGACCTCAACACCGCTAGTAGCGCAGATGCAGCATGGAACCCGTGCCATACCCTACCCTTCATGCCAGTAAACCAGCAATCCGGGATAGCAACCTCACATCTGCCGAGCTACCTCGGTGGACAAAAGAGAGGGCGGCCGGATATCCGCCACCACCCCCGGAATCCGAAAGGTGGCTTCCAGAGATACACCCGTCGCCCGAAAGACACCCAAAGCTACTCCGGGATACCGGAGAGGAATCGGGACATCCCCAGGCAATCCAGATTCCACGGCAAACTACGCCACCGCCAAGAACCTCAACGGAATGGGATGGACCCCGGTGTTCTTTCCCCTACCTAGGAACTAGCGTGCCTGTGGGAGAAATCCCAAAGGCCAAAAAGAGGAATGGAAAAAGGGGGGGAGGGGAGAATGGGGGGTAATTAGGTTCGGTCTGAGGAAGAAGACCGACAGGGCTAATTCCTCAGACCAAGAGCCTCTTCACCACGCCAAGGAGCCCCCTTGAAGAGGTTTAGTTACAACAGAAATATTAATTTTAAAACTCCAATTACAGTTAGAGTAATCATACAAATGCTCACCTTAGTGACAATGTAATAATTAACATGTTTAACAAACATACCTAATGTTGGCAACTTCAACATAAACTTCATCCAAGCAGAAGACCCCTATTACCATATATAACCAAGCCTACAAGAATTTCTGACAAGTCCATCCTCAATATAATAGCTCCTCTCAAAGCAGGGATAATTACAGATAACACTACTGCCCCACTTTTCTCATTACCAACCTAACTTACAAGACACTAGTAAGATCTCTTTTTGTTTCTATGATGAGACATCAGTAAATAACTTCTAGCATTGACATTTAACTAACACAGTTGAGAAATGGGTCATAATAATAATAATATGGCTAATAAATAGCATCCTCAGGTCCATTGATAAAAATCTATGAACAACAGCTCAGATTGGGCTTAACTAAGGAACAGACCAAACAATACAAGTCAGTACTTACCAAACTAAAAGGCAGTCTAATTTATTATGCAAACATGTTTAATGAAACAAAAGATAGGAAAAAGACCTGGAAAACCCTCTCCTAAACACTGGGCTCTCAAAAACCAGGCAAAACCTTTTAGTCTCTAACTAAACCAGAAGAACCTTGCATCGCCGCAAAAACAGCCAATATACTTCGACACAGACTAAGAAACTTATCACACCACTTTCATTAAATTTCCACCTTCACTAAGCCCTCTGCTTATAACTAAAATCACCTCTACACTGACCCATACAGGTTTAATCATAAATCTCAGAATATTTAAAAAATTAAATATTCTGAGATTTATGATTCAGCATGTGCTGATGTACCTGTAGCTATGGCAGGAAAACAAAGGTCAGATGCTGAAGCATACATGAAAAATATACCTCCACACATAAAACATGTTCATTATCATCATAAACTAGCAATTAAACAAATGTACTTGAAGTCAAAATTAATTTCATCAAAGCACAACCACTTTAATCTAAGATATTCAAGAAATAGGAAGACTGCAGAATAATAATATAATCAAATTAAATGCTAAATCCAAAAGGGTCATACAACCCCAAAGGGAAAGCTGTGTGAAGGTCAATGATTATTATAACCATAGGGAAGTGCTTAACCCATAGGATTATACAGCACCTGCAAGGGGGGAGGGAGGAAACTGGAGCACAGATCCAATTCTATAGATCAAGAGCCCCTCACCAGTGTCAAGGAACCTCCCTTGAGGGGTACAAAGGTCAAGAGGCAAGGGAGTGTGTTCAATTCAAGTTACAGGTAAATTAAAATCATTATTAAGGCAATTAATTAGTTTTAAACAACTTTGTCTTTAAGAAAGGAGAAACTCGGCAAAGTCAGTGTGTATTCGGGTGGCAGACATTGTAAGTAAATTCTACATGCCCACTAACAAGACAATGTAATAATATAATCAGACTAGGTGCTAAGCCCACCTATAGCTGGAAGGGCCATACAGTGCTGCAGGGATAAATACAGTCCCCTTTTAAAGACTTCTTAATGCAGGCGAGGGGTTCCTGATATAAGGAATTTGAAATAACCTCTTTCCCTGGATCCATTATCCTATCAGCACTGTATAACTTTTGGGTTTTGTGCTTACTTTTATTATAATCCATTACCTTTATGAGATTAGCACCTCCCCATAAATACAGTCCATGATCTATGGTGATTGTCCTGTAAATAAAACTACCTTGCATATGCTTAAGTTTTTAAAGACCCCCATCCTATCCTTTACAACTAGTTACATCTAATTCACACAAATGGATATGAGAGGCATAAGGGGTAAGGGCACTTTAAAATTGTTTATGCACAAAGGGTAATATATACTTAGACTTCAACAAGACAAGCATAGTACCACTTGGAACTGATCTCTTTTGCAAGACAAATTCCTCGGTACACAGGGCACACATAGGAGTGTAAAAGTCGAGGCCCAAAACACTTCAGAAAATGAGGTGTGGCTATTTGAGAAGAGGTCATTATCAGCAGCCTGAGCAGATAAGGCATTCTGCTGGATGGCCAAGCACCAGCAGTTACAATCTAAGAATAACTACTCATTAAATACTGCTCCAAACGTTGAAAATGTAAAGGCCAGCATTCATTCTGTATCCACTTAAGTTAAGCAGGTGCAATCTAAAGCATCTACGAAGATCCTTTTGCCCCTATCAATATATAAATGAACTGCCTTCAGGTTTAATATTTTAAATACTGAACAACATTATAACTTCAAATCTATGAACCTTTACACTGCAAGCAAACTACAAACCTCTTCCCTTGAACTTTTGTGGACACCTAGTAATCATTAATTTCCTTAGATGTATGAGGAAGACCTAGAAATTATTTGAAAACATTGGATGAAATCTTTCCCAAACCCTCTTCTGCTATTCTGGTAACAATATTCCAAAATTTTAATTTTTTGGACAAAAATGATCATTTTACATGACGCAGAAAAGCAAATCATGGCCAAGGAAATAATCAAATTAAGCACTAAACTCAGAAGGGTTATACAGCACTGCAGATAAGAATGAACAAATCAAGATATGCAAAATGTGTTCAGATAATTATAGTTTGCAGTTCAACTGTGGGAGCACTAAACCCCTATATAGGGGTCAGTTCTAAGAGAATGTGATTCAGGTTTGATCCAAGATACACGCAGATCTTTCAAAACTAACCCAATACATGCTGAACTGCAATAATCAAAATACTTTTACTGAAATTTCACTAAGCATTAAGTTCCATAATATTCTTAATATTTATCCTTACCTGTTTGCAGAATAATCTGATTTAAAGAAAGGAAATTAAAATGTTATTTAAAAAACAACTTTATTAAGGGGCTGAGAACATAAGTATACATGTCTTGCCAAATCAGAAATCTTGCATATGCAAAAACTTGCACGTGCAATAAATGCCTGAAAATCATTCTACCCATAAAGAAAAACAGACAGTACTATAATTTAAATGGACCTGAGAAGTTTAATAGAAGTGGGTCAAAGAGAATTAGAAGTTTCAGTTACATTTTAAGGGTAGTTCTGCATAAAAGATAGATTTATCTTGTATATATTTTGGTAGAATTACCAACAATATGTAAAGTAAAAGGACACAAGTGCAACTAATGTGACATTTTATTGTGGCACCGTTTCGCTCTCTAGGAGCGACGGCTTGACAAAGCTCCTGGAGAGCGAGACATTGCCACAATAAAATGTCACATTAGTCGCACTCTTGTCCTTTTACTTTACAGATTTATCTTGTTCGGCATGACATAGGTACTGCATATATATAGAGCTGTATTACACATCAAAATTCATAAATGTTCCTCTATGTAAATGATTACACAAGACTTACTGTTCAATCAACATGCAGTATGAAAGTCACTAAACACTTCTTTCCTTACAATACAAAATTAAACCTACTACAGAGAACCTAACTTCCCCCCTCTCTCAAACAAAACATGCACTTTCAATACATCACTGATGAAGCCAGTCTTAGATGTCTTAAATGTTCCTCTTAAGTAAATGATATGCCAAGATTTACTATCCACTGATAACAAAGCAAGAAAGCTATTCAAAATTTACCTCACAAAATCAACCTTCATTTTCAAACCACTCCCCCCCCCCCCTTCCCTAGTGAAATGAAAACTGGCACATCTAATATAATGATGTAGCCACAAGTTCCCTCAATATTAAAAACAGAATAAATAACTTCCATTAAGGAACCAAGACATGCTCCCAATGCACATCACCGAAGCTATTACAATTAAAAACTTAAGTGCTATACCAGATCAAATTCAAACATTCCATTTAAAACTGTGTACTTTTAGCGAGCAATAACATGATTACAACGGAAAATATTTGTGACCAGCTTCATCTGGCATTTAAATGTGGTAAAAAGAAAAAGTCCCACACTCTTCAACCAAAAACTTGAGGCAGCATTTACAAGATCTCGTATCGCTCCTTTACCGCTCTGATGAGGCAACAAGACATCCAGGCACCAATCATCTACAAAAAAAAAAAAAAGTATATAAATAACTCTACACATTTTACCCATAAGTGTCTGAATTGAACTATTTTAAGCAATTACAAAGATTACAAAGGAATGGTTCCTCTCTTTTTGTATCCCACAACTAGCCACCCAGTGACCTGGGGACCTTCAGGGTTATAAAACAAGGACAGGTTTACCCAATGGGTATTCAGATCTGAAACTTGCCAATTTCTTTCAAAATATTAATTACTACAGGTAAAATCTATGACAATTCATAAATATTCCTAACTTAGTACTTCTGAATACAGTGTAGGCACTGCCCTTACCACCTCCAGGATTCCAGTCTACTAATTAACCTGAATACCTTCATAAAAGTTACAATCAACAGCACATCCATTAAACCTCAAACTTACTATATTTTTTAAACTTCAAGCTTGCCAGGCTTTTCCACATTAAACAGGTCATTGCTAATTAATCATAACGCAAATGAGGAGTTGGCTAAGCAACAATGTAAAGAAACTGCAAGCAGATTAAAAAGTGGTGAACTTAGCACATGTTGAGCAGACTGAATATACAGTAGGGCCCTGCTTTACGGCGTTCCGCTAATACGGCGATGTCAAATTATGATCCAAATTTGCTATACAGCAAGTGGTCTTTCAAATACGGTGCCCCCCCCCCCCCCCCCAGTTTGTTTACATTCTCCTTGACCACATCTATTATGTTTTCTAGTTATTGCATATTTTATACGTATGTACTCTGATAATTATACTTATGTGTACCTGTACCTAAATATACTTACACACTGTGCTGGTGTGCAGATGCACATTAAAATCACTAAGTCTCTCTACTCATGACGCCAATAGTACGTAATAATCACTCTTGGGCACACTAAATGTCTTATTTTACATTAATATAGACATTTTCATTAATTCATTTATGATATTTTCCTTAAAATTATATAAGAAACACATTACATAGCATATAAACATGATACACACACTCACAGCATAAAAACTGACGTAAATATGAGATCTGTTTACAAAGTTGCTGTGTAGGTAGTGTCGGAAGAATTACGTTTCTCTAGTCAAACAATGGGGATACCTGTATAAAAATATTCCTTTTGTATGCCTTCACTCTATATATAGCAATTCACGACCCTTGTGGGTTTAGCGCTTTTTTATTACGATAATATCATCATCTTCACTCTAAAAATGATGTGTTGCATGAGAATGGAAGTGTTGCTGTTTGTTTATTCTGTACTAACTTGTACACAATGTACCTCACAAAGTATTGTGAGGTAATTATTATAATAAAAAATATTGTTAGGTAAAAGTTTTACAAACTCTTACAAACATATGTGAATGAACTAAAAGCAGAAACATATTAATACGCATTTATTTCGCCTGACAAAGTGATCGCCCACTACCCGTTCAGTTTGTGTTCTTACATTGTCTGAACTCCGTATCTCGTTCTCTCTCGTTTACTCTTTTGTTAACTAGTTGGCTCTCATTGGCAATGGCGTCTAAGCTTAGCTGTGATAAAGGACCCCAATGGAAATAAGTCACTCTGTCTGACTTTTTGGGTTATCCTAGGTTCTCTACACATATGCTGCTATGTATGATAATCTAGGTAACTGTATTTGTGTATACCTGAATAAACTTACTTACTTAAAAAGAGGAGTCATTAAGCCTCTTGCTTTAAATGCCAAGTTAGAGGATGATGGTGTGCCATTCTGATTTTATTCAATAAACACCCTGCCACTTACCTCTCACACGTTAATATTAATATTTTAAGGTAAGTAATAAGTGTACTCTGTGTGTATCTTACATTTTTTTTTTTTTGCCTATTTCTATTGCTAACTTAATATAAGTTAGTGTAAACTTGTTGTCTGGCATTTATTGCATATTTTATATGTGCTCTGATAATAATACTTGTGGACCTGTGTGGTAGCCGGGTGGAGGGATAACATTACGTTTTCTCTGCTCAGCCATCAGAGAAAACGTGTATGAATTTGCGTTTGGCCCAGCCACTTCCCCACTCTGCTTTTGTTTACAATTTTTGGCATGAATTATTCATTACTTCTCCCTTCGTTTATGATGGCATCTAAAGGTAGTTGTTAGAAACGATTAAATTCAGTGAACAAGGTATGTCAATGCTAATAATATGGCTCTGGGCCACACTGTAGGTAGCCGGTAGGCATAGCCCAGGCAGGCTACACCTACCGGCTACCTACACTCACTTCCTACAAATAAATACTACTCACCTCTCTTCCTACATTAAGACTACACATATTTTAACCCTTAAACTGTCCAAACAGATCTATGTTCACATGCGTAGTGTTTTTTTTACATATTTTCAATAAAAAAAACGTAGATCAAAGTTTTTTTTACAAGTTTTCAAATGTAGAAAAACAAAAAGATTACGTTTTTTTACATACTTTCAAATGTTGAAAAAACGTAGATCTACGTTTGGACAGTTTAAGGGTTAAGGTAAATAGTGAGTGTACTGTATGTGTATTTTAACTCTCTGGGATGTTTTAAATATCATATATTAAGTTTGAAACGGGGAGCCAGGGCTACCTACACCTGACTTCCTACAAATAAGTACTACTTCACCTCTCTCCCTACATTAAGATTACAAATACTTAAAAGTAAGTAATGAATGTACTGTGAATGTATTTTATTTTGTGTTTTTAATGCCTAGTTCTATTACTAACTTAATATAATTTAGTGTAAACTTGTTGTCTGGTATTTATATGCATTTATAAAAGGAAAAAATGGCATTCTGCTTTCCGGCGATGGCCTGGAACCTAACCCGCCATATAAGTGGGGCCCTACTGTATTTACCACTCTTACAATTAGCCTATGATTAAAGATAGTCACAGTGGTACAGTAAGGTAGTTTGGGAGCTTTTGGTCATCTGACCGATGCCTTCTGCAGGGTTACCGGTCCACCCCTTTAAAAATTAAGGTTATAATTATAACCTTAGGTAGTGGTGGGCTTTAGTTTTGTATATGGTTGCTGCATTTATGGTGGAATAAACTGGTGGTAGTAAAATTTCCAGAGCACTAGAAAAAATTAAAACTGAGGTCTACCATTATTAATGCAATAGTTATCTTGTCAGGAGTGCTGAGATAAAAAAAAAAAAAACTGTCAACTGCAACATCCCCTTTCCCCAATCAGAGTTCATTACTTCCCACCTCCAAGGCTCTAGTCTAGCTAAGCCAGTTTACCCTTGTGTTACCTTGCTCACTCCAACAATATGTCAAGCCCTCTCACTTAAAATGTTCAGTCCAACCCTATCCCCCCATTCTTTTCTGCTGCATCCTATCAAAATGCCAAAACCATTACCCTCCTCTATCCTGTGAATTATACATAACCTATTTTTTTTTTAATTACATTCACTTGTAAGTGCTAAAGTAGGACTATTTTTTTTTAAGCTAATACTACACACTATTTACAGCACCCACCTAGGGAGGTACTAACATCGTGCCATATCAATGTGAAAGAGAAACCTGTTGTTTTACACCAAAGGAGAATTTCTGGAGTCTTTTATCTCAAACATGCAAATAACAGGTACCCCTTGCTACTTCTACTTACATTTAGGTCACACTATACATGCATGTATATGTATACACACTCATCTGAGTTTTCTTCTATTTTCTTAATAGTTCTTGTTCTTATTTATTTTCCTTTCATCTCCATGGGAAAGTGGAAAAGAATCTTTCCTCCATAAGCCATGGATGCCATAAAAGGCAATTAAAATGCAATGGGTTACTAAACCCTCTTCCTGTATAAATTCCTAAAAGAAATTTTTATAAGTTGGGATGTTCACATAGGCAAGAACAGAGTGCAGATAAGACTGATGACTGCCAATATAATGAATGAAAAAAAGTTGGATGTCTTTGCTCTAAGCAACAAAAGCTGAAGGGGAATTTAGCGAGGAGAAATAAATGGGAATAGGTCAGGTGTATCAGAGTTAGAGATAAGGAAGGGGCAGCAATAATGCTGAAGGATCAGTTATGGCAGGAGAAGAAATATAAATGTATAAATTAAAGGGTGTGTAAAAGAAGTTGAAAGTGAACATAGATAAGAATAAGGTGATAAGGGTATCAAACAAATTAGGCATGGAAAAAAACTATCAGATTGGATGGAGGGAGTATGGAAGAAGTGAATATATTCAGATATTTTTGTTTAATAACTGTATGAAAGAGAGGAAGGTACCTAGGGATTGACAGAGCATGTACAGTTCCTCAGGTTAGGGTGTGTAGAAGAGAGGGAGATTACTTCCCAGTAAAAGTAGGTCTTAGACAGGGATGTGTAATATCACCATGGTTGTTTAATATATTTATAGATGGGGTTGTAAAAGAAGTAAATGCTAGGGTGTTGGGGAGAGGGGTGGGATTAAATTATGGGGAATACATAATGGGAGTTGACACTTTTTGCTGCTGATACTGTGCTTATGCGAGATCCTAAGGAAAAGTTGCTAAGGTTAGTGGATGAGTTTGGGAGTGTGTGTAAAGGTAGAAAGTTGAAAGTGAACCTAGATAAGAGTAAGCTGATGAGGGTATCAAATGATTTTGATAAAAATTGGATATCACATTGGAGAGAGGTAGTATGGAAGAAGTGAATGTTTTTAGATATTTGGGAGTTGACATGTCAGTGGAAGGGTTTATGAAGTATGAGAACTTTAGAATTGATGAAGGAAAAACAGTGAGTGGTGTGTTGAGGTATATGTGGAGACAAAAAATGTTATATATGGAGGCAAAGAAGGGAATGTATGAAAGCACAGTGGTACCAACACTCTTTTATGGGTGTGAAGCTTGGGTTGTAAATGCTGCAGCAAGGAGGTGGTTGGAGGCAGTGGAGATGTCCTGTCTAAGGGCAATGTGTGGTGTAAATATTATGCAGAAAATTCAGAGTGTGGAAATTAGAAGGGGTGGATTTAATAAAAGTATTAGTCACAGGGCTGAAGAGGGGTTGTTGAGGTGGCTTGGTCATTTAGAGAAAATGGATCAAAGTAGAACGACATGGAGTGTATAAATCTGTACGGGAAGGAAGATGGGGTAGGGGTCATCCTTGAAAAGGTTGGAGGGAGGGGGTAAAGGAGGTTTTGTGGGCAAGGGGCTTGGACTTCCAGCAAGCACGCATTAGCATGTTAGATTGGAGATGAATGGTTTTTAGGACCTGACGAGCTGATGGAGTGAGAGCAGGGTATTACTTAGTGAAGAGATTCAGGGAAACTGGTTATTTTTATATAGCCAGACTTGAGTACTGGAAATGGGAAGTACAATGCCTGCACTTCAAAGGAGGGGTTTTGGGATATTGGCAGTTTAGAGGGATATGTTATATATCTTTATATATGCTTCTAAACTGTTGTATCAGGGCACCTCTGCAAAAACAGTGATTATGTTTGAGTGAGGTGAAAATGTTGAATAATGATGAAAGTATGGGGATTTTCTTTCTTTCTGGGTCACCCTGCCTCGGTGCGAGATGGCTAACTTGAGGAAAAAAAAAAAAAATGGGAGTGAACATGTCAGTGGGTGGATATATGAAGGACAAGGTATCAAAAAGAGAATTAATGAAGGGGATGTATGAGAGTATAGTGATGATGAAAGTTTCTTCTTTTTTTGGGTTACCCTGCCTCAGTGGGAGATAGCAAAAAAAAACCTAAAGGGTGGCGTGCGGTTTTTTCATTCAAAATCTTTATTTTTCAACCGATTTCTTTTATTTTTGGTGTACGATTAGAAGTGCATATGTAGATGAACATGACAAAGTTTCAATAAGATTGGCAAACAAACAGAAAAAAAATATTTACTAATTTTGACATATGGCAACATGACATGACAAATTGGCACTTTGAGTGACACTTCTGACAATCCCAACTGTTAGAATATGTCTAACACAAATTTTTAATGGATAAAACTCATCTAATATACTTTATTATTATGGTGAAAAAAATACACTTGGTGTGCTTTTTTGACATTCACTAAAATACCTGCCTTTTACCCTCCCACAAAATCAAAATTATTTGAGAAATTCCAAAAACTTTTCCATTCTAAATTCAAACACACTGTTTTATATTGTCTGTGAAAATCATTTCAATACAATCATTAACCCTTTATCGTGTTGGTCCGGATAAATTCGGTATTGATTACGTGTTTTTGGCGCGTGTCATACTTCGCGCCCTGCGTGGCCAGCTTCCCGTTCTTTAGTTCCAACCAATCACAAGCCTTCCCTGAGTCTCTTCAGCTAAGTACAGTTCGGTTCTGCCGCCTTCCCATTGGTTGAGAGATCAAAATATAAACACTGGTGGCTTGGCTCCACCCACACATGCATTTTTCCCTCCACCCTTACTAATCTACTCTTGGATTATACATTCTACAATGTCGGTAAGTACTGATTGTTGTGTTTAGTGCTTACATGAATAGTTTAGGCATATTTTGATATATACCTAAAGTCCGTGTGAAGCATAATATGAGTGTAGCATGCAGTTGAAAAAAGTGCAAACATTTTATACCGAATTATTTCGGTCTTGCACGAGTTTCCGGGAATGTCCAATTTTACTCAAATAAATATTTATAAAAAAAATTTCAATTGCATATATGAACTCTGTAGTGGTCTGGATCTATACAGGAGGTTTCTATTGTCCTTCCAGATCAATGAGAAGTTGTTTTATGGGGAGCAGTCCACCAGCAGGTCGAGGTATGTCTGCGTTTCTGAAGAGAGTGACTCAGAAGCAGAGGTAGATGAACCAGAATTGCTGGATAGTGGTGATGAATACTTGCCACCGGATGCACAGGTGTCAAGTGATGATGAGGAGGAAGAAAGGCCAGCCAAAAAAAACAGAAATTAGTGAAGAAAAAGTAAGGTATTACGATTGCAACTATTGCAGCCACTCGAAGAAATTGGTCACATCCTCATTCCAGTGTTCTGTATGCAAAGTAAATCTGGATAAAGAGTGATAGAAATTGCTTCAGCGACTACCATACCATCAATTAGCAATATAGAATAATTGGTCATCCAAATGAATCTCAGGAATATAGGGATTGAAAGTTGCATCCCTTTGCAATTTGTCATTGTTGAGATTTGCTTCCTTTTTATATTTTTGTAACAATTAAAAAATGTTTTGATTCAAGTTCCATTTATGTTTTTTATATTGTCTGTTTGTATATTAAATTTAAAAAACTGTTTTGGTGTGTTTTATTAACAATTGCAAGTTTTGCAACATCAAATTTTTTAATCCCTTCGTCGGGAGCAGCCTAATATTTTCGGTCTCCGGAGATTAGCAATTGCTCGAAAACTAACCATCAGAAATCAATTTATATGGGATCAGTGACCTTGTATTGAGTTACTCTATCCACCATAGGGAGTTCAGTTCGAATTTCAAATTTTCGGACCAATTGCGCGATGAAGGGTTATTAATGGTGCATTGTTAAGCAATAGGCCAAAATCTTACTTTTGAGATATTCGGGCAAATGCACGGATTAGCTAATTATGTCAAGAAATTAAAAAAAAATTCACGAAAATCGCGCTACTTTGGGTTTATTTATGCGACTTAAGTAATTTCTTATTGTTTCCCATGTATAGTACACCGTTTTCTGTAATGCTACCAGAGATAACATAGAAAACCCTTCTCTTATGGTGAGGATCTAGTGTAATCATTTCATCAAGGTCACCCACCACCCTCCGGGCATAATATACAAATATTATTAGTTTGGCTGGCTTTCTTATGTTTATCCAAGTTATCTTATGCATACTATCATTACTGAATAAATGATATAAGCAGAAAAAGGATATTAGTAATAATAGCGTCAGTATAAGGCATCTTGTGAGTGGAGATCAGACTGCTGTCATCAGCAACTGGTCGTTGCACCATCATGCAAGCTCCTCCCACGTCTGCTATAAGCCCCTCCCACATTGTAATGATATTAAGTGGTAAATTTAGTGTATGTATTAAAAAGGAAAATAGACAGAAAATAAAAAATCAAACAAAAAATATATATAAAAATTCACCTCGCACTCAAGCATATACACCTACCATCTGACTTACGATCGAGTTCCGTTCCGAGAAACCGGTTGTAAGTCGAAATGGACGTAAGTCGAACTTTACTACTGAATATCAACATCACATTTTTGTAATGACTTTATTTTATTGTTTTATTTTGGTATTTCATGTTTTACTTTACTTTTTATGCTGTTAGTACTGTATTTTATACTGTAAGGTTTAGGATAAACACTGTGTACAAGACAAATAGCTGTTTATTTCCCAGAAATTTGGAAGAAAAAAAAAAAAAAAAAAAAAAAAAAAAAAACACGGTCGTAAGTCGAGCAGGTTGTAAGTCGGATGGTAGGTGTATTTACCTGGTGGGTCGTCACCCGACATGTTTCAAGTAGCTATAATTTGCTTTAGAAACATTGTATTACGATGGGGTTTTCACCAAAGTGTTGCCAATACTTACACTATTTTTCTGTAAACAAAACCCAAAATCATATTTTTTCACATAATTATCATGACCGCGTGAGAAATTGACCCACCGGCCCCTAAAGCTTCCAGTCTCCTTACTGATGTTTAAATAGTGATGCCTCACACCCATATAAGTGTTGGTACGACTATATATTGGTACATATCCCTTTCTTGCTTCCAAAATAAACTTTTCTTAACATAGCAGCCTACACTACTTATCTTTCTCTCCATCTATGATTCACCTCTTTCAAACCCACCTGCCAACTCAACTACTCCAAAAACCTCTTACCTTCTTCATGCTACAATCTAATTGCCTAGACTTATTCACCTTTCTTTTTCAATTTCAAAGCTTTCATAAACCCTCCCAAACTCCCACAATTTGCAACCACACCTGTACGGGTTATTTCAGCACATGGAGGAAGGGTACCGATGTAAAACAAAATGTGAAGGGTAGGTTCATGTGCAGAAGAGGAGGGCGAATGTAATGCAAGTCATATGTTCTGTTTTAAAAGCATGATTTAAGAGATGGAACAAAAAAAAAAAAAAAATCACGTCTTAAAAACTAATAAATCCCTAAGCAAAATTACACAACTAAAGCAGGATTTGACACCAATCTGATAAAAAAAAACTGCAGCTCTGTAAGGGAAAGTAAAAAAAAAAAAGGGGGGCCATAACACATTTGAGACTTTACAGCTTATACGTGTTAAAATACTCAGAAAAATATTAAACATACCTGAAGCAATGCCAAAAACACCAGGCCTCCAATTATTGCTCCTAAGTTACGATGAACAGATTCTGTCAAAGCCGTATAACAGCCTTCGGTGTAGATGTTGCTGGGGGTTCCATGCTCTGGAAAAACTTTGTATCCACATTGAGAAGTAATATTCATGCAGCAGGAGTCGGGAACACCCAACACAGTCTCATTCTGGCCGTATTTTGTCCACTCCCAGTCTCTGTAGCTAGAAGTTCCACAGCAATCGTGCTAAAACAATGTAAATAATTTGAAGAGACGTTCAGCAAAATAAAAAATAGAAGCAGAATCCTTGACAATTATTGAAGTATATTATGCCTAACCACCTGGTATCAGTCAACAAAACTTGAAGTATTACTTACCTTTTTCTGTAGATCATCCCAAGCCTTTGTTACAAGACTCTTATCATCACCATAGTTCTCCATAGTCTTGTTCATGTTTTCCTTCAAAAGGGTCTCAATGTCTGGTCGCAATATAGCAACAGTGATTGCAGCAGCAAACTCCAACACAAGGATTACCATCATCAGGAAGGCAAACTGTTAAAAGTTTGTATATTGAGAGTTTACAGTAAATACCAAATTATACAAAGTAAATTAAAAATTAGACTAAAATACCAATTTAAGAAACTGATCAACAGATAACAAATTTCTCCAAACAGGATGAAAAAAAAGCTATCACTAACTACTTTGTTGAAGGATCCAATTTTTGACCAACTTTACCACAAATTATACTTTTCAAAATATACACGCTGCACCATTTCCTAACCTACAAAATTTGATGGAAAACTTATGGAATTACAATGGTGCAAAGTTAGTTGTCTAGGTACAATTTACACACTGGCAGTTTTGCCAAATCCTATTTTAAGTCAATTCCATTGCTCTAAGTGACCAAATTCTTAGCTATTTTGCAAATAGCTTTCTATTTTAAATTCATAATCACATAAACAGAAGATTTATTCTCCTCTCTGAAAAATAAAATACAGTATGGACCCCCTTGTAAAATTTTCATTACAAGATATGTACTTCAATGGGATGAGCATGGCTTAATGAAATTTACTAGTCATACAAGTCCAAAATTTTGGCTATATATTTTTTGAAGTGGTACTAGTGTCCATTGGTTAACTATACCGCCAATGTCATTAACAAACTACTAGACTGCTTGCATGCTTTCTCATACCTATATTTTAAGTACAGTGATACCTCTCATATCCGAACTACATATATGGGCCAAGACCAGCTCGGAAACACAGTTTCTGTATACGTAAGGGGGAAAAAATGCGCATCCGTACCATCATATCGCCATCCATACCCTGTCATATCACCATCGGCAACAGCACTGTAGGTTTAAAAAATGAGTCCAATGTCGTCTGGCAGTGGGACCACACACTCTGGGCTTGAATAACAGCCTCCCAGATTTCACAGCCCACAGAACCATAATTTTTCAAATGGGCTGTGAACATACTCCAAAAGTGTTTCGACACTCTCCTCTTGATGAAGAAGTTTTTTGTTCTTGGAGGGATTGGGTCGTCGTCGTCACTTTCGGAATGTTCTGGGTGCAACACTGACTCTGCAATCTCTGCATCCGTAAGAGATTGCACACCAGGGTCGTCTTCGTCACACACTAGCCAGTCTTGCACGTAATCTTTTGTTTTTTTCCCCAGTCTTGGACCAACCTGCATCCACGTGTAACTATATTTCCCTCTTTTACCCTAGGGTAAGCACATTCCTGGCCCTCTTTGGTTTCGTACACAAGATAGCTAGGAAACAGCTGTAATAATGCTAAAAGGAAAGTAAAGAGTGCGGCTCCTAGTAGCCAACCGGTATACTCAAGTGCGTGCCAAGTTTGATTCAGCCTTCTGCCATATCCAAATGGCTGTTTGGATGTTTCAGTAATAATTTTAGAATTTTGCCTTTCCCAGGGCCAGTTCGGATATTGGCAGGCTGGATATGCGAGGTATCACTGTATAGGTATTTTTAATTCTGAGTTAATTAAAGTTGAAAATACATTACACAAAACCTATTAAGTCAATGCAAGTATCACTGGAAAATGTGCAGTAACTACTTACTATTCTCAGCATGAAAACATTTTCTTTCTTAGCCCCACAACATCCAAAGAAGGAGATGACTAGAATGATGGAACCCAAGATGATCAAGCCAATGGCTGGAGTCTCATATTTCCCATCAAAGAACTGCATGTACGAGCTGAAGAAACCCTGGGCGATACCACCCATTATAATCAGGGCCAACCCCGACAACTGCAAAAATAAAATAATTTTAATATAGGATACTAAATTAAAACCAATTTATTTAATGTTGAATAAATAAAATTTACAAGCATGCTTGTAACATACAAAAATATATATGAATACATGTACAGTGGACCCCCGGTTAACGAACTTTTTTCATTCCAGTAGCATGTTCAGGTGCCAGTACTGACCGAATTTTTTCCCATAAGGAATATTGTGAAGTAGATTAGTCCATTTCAGACCCCCAAACATACACATACAAACGCACTTACATAAATACACTTACATAATTGGTCGCATTTGGAGGTGATCGTTAAGCGGGGGTCCACTGTATATATGGCCTGGTGGCTAAAGCTCCCGCTTCACACACGGAGGTCCTGGGTTCGATTCCCAGGGGGGGGGGGAAAACATTTCGACACGTTTCCTTACATCTGTTGTCCTGTTTGCCTAGCAGCAAACAGGTACCTGGGTGTTAGTCGACTGGTGTGGGTCGCATCCTGGGGGAAGAGATTGAGGACCTCAAATGACGCACTGACTTTCTTGGGTTATCCTGGGTGGCTAATCCTTCAGGGTTAAAAATCTGAATGAAATCTTATCTTAACTAATCTGCTTACCTTGAGTCTACCTACCTGGAGGGTATTCCAGGGATCAATGCCCCAAGTGGCCTGGTCCATGACCAGGCCATACTATGCAATTTCTATGAGCCTCATTTGTGAGGATAAATAAATCTTTTATTTTGGTAAAAATATACCAGAGTATTCCAAAGGTGTCCAGCAAAGTCAATAACTTCCTAAATTGGCAACTTCGGTGATTTATCTAGGTGGCAAGAATGGTGACTAGCAGAACCATGAGTTATCAGCAATAATTTAAGTGTCAGGTTAGTGCTTAATAATAATTTTAAATTAACAAGGGGGGAGAACTCTTCAACAGAAAAATATTGCTACTTTCTGACTGCTTGGTGACTAAGATTTGTGAAAATTATGGATTTCTTGATAATGTAAAATTATGCATATTGGTTGTAGCAAAATACTAGCACCTATAACCGTTCTGTAATATGATGAGCTTAGAAATGGACTGAGATCATTTCATATAAACTGGATCAATGGTCACTACCTTTCCAATTCAGATTTTGTTTAAACTCAGTAGCTTCACACAAGTTTCAAAGGTCTGTGGAGTTACAAATGAAACAAAGATCAATCAAATAAATACACTTTGTACAGTTACTCTTAGTCCTGAAAGAATTCCTCATGCATTTTACCTGGAATAATATACAATGAACATTCATAATTAGTGTAGGTCATGTTCCTGAAAACTATTATATTAATGATTTACACAACTTATGAAGAACACAGAAAAAGAAGGGGACTGTGCTTGCCAGGTCTCCATTTCTAAGACCTGTGGGAAGCCAGCTGACCCAGTTTAAAAGCTTATTTCTTTCATAACTCCGACCAAAACTACTGGTGAATTAGGCTTGTATGCAACTCCTGGATATCTATTTTGAAGTTTTCACCCATCAGTACCACTTTCAATTCAACAGTTTGAACTGGAGACAGCATATGCCTTCCACAAGGAATTAGCATTTATGACCCTCAAAACCACCAGCATTCAATAGTTTCGTTGCACACAGTATTTGAAATGGGTTAAAAATTGACAAGAAAGTTCTCTTACTTTCCATTCCTTGCTCAATGTCTTTGTTGCTACAAAAGTGTGTAGATATACAAATAACCCGCACAAAGAAGAGAGGAGCTTACGACGACGTTTCGGTCTGACTTGGACCATTTACAAAATCACACTGTGTGACTTTGTAAATGGTCCAAGTCGGACCGAAATGTAATCGTAAGCTCCTCTCTTCTATGTGTGGGTTATTTGTGTATCGTTCCAGTCACGGTACTGTGCCTTTTTTTGTTATGTGTGTGTAGATATAACTGATGTGACTCTTATAAATCAAAAATGGCCACCTGTGGCCTATGTCTTCACTACAACTCTACAACTTTCCTTTTAATAATTTATACACTTATTAATCCAACACTCAATTATATAAATGCAGAAAAGTAACAAATGACTTTTTATGGCACAAGAATGTGTAATTACAGTATAACTGTGCATTACACTAGACTGTTAGCATCCTACAAGCCATAACCACTACCCTCCCTCCTGTCTAACCACAATTACCTAAGAAATTGCAAGATTCACACCCAATTATCTTCTTGGCATATCCAACAACACTTATTCTGTTGGGTGTCAAGGTTAATATCCAGAGACAAAGTAATTCAGTTCTCTCACAGAGGTCCGTGATTCGATCCCCGGTTCAGGTGGAAACACTGGGAGTGTTTCCTTAAGACATCTGTCCCTGTTAGCCTAGCAGTAAAATGTGTATCTGGGTGTTATGTGACAAGTGTGGGTCACATCCAGGGGACAAAATTAACCTAATTTTCCCAAAATGCTCTGCATAACCACGGACAGTGAAACCCCAGTTTTCGAACTTTTCGAACTTAATCCATTCCAGAACGTCATTCTAAAACCGATACGTGCGAAAACTGAATCAATATTTTACAATTAATCCATTCAAGACACCTAAAAATATTCACAAGAAATCCATTTTTTTTAAGAATATGGTACTAATATCAACTCTACGGCTTATTTATCACAAATGATCTAATATGACGTATTAAACAATATTAATAACAAACATGATATATACTCTAGAATGAATAAAATATGTCATTACATATGTGGACTGGAGGTGGAGGTGGTGGGTTTATAAGGGCCACTGACAGCATAAGCTGTATATACATGTACAGTGGTCCCTCGTTTATCTTAATTAATCCGTTCATGGAGGTGTTACTATTATCGAAATCTACAATTTTCGAATCAATTTTCCCCATAAGAAATAATGTAAATAAAATTAATCCGTTCCTGACACCCAGAAGTACTAAAAATTTTTTTACATGAAATATAGATGTAGTACATAAACAATACAATGGGACATGATGAATGAAACATTAACAGCATAACACTTACCTTTATTGGCGATTCTTCTTAGTGTATGGAAGACTGGAGGAGGAGAGAGATTGGATTATTTACAGTTTGGAAGGGGAATCCCCTTCCATCAACACCTCAGGTACCAATTGCTTTTCTGGGGTTACTTCTCTTCTCTGTTTCTTAATGCCACTAGGACCAGCTTGAGAGTCACTGGAGTCCTGTCTCGCAAAATAACTGTCCAGAGAGCTGTTTCTGGCTTCTCTTTAACACTTCCCTAAAATGGGCCAAGACTTTGTCACTGTACATGTTGCCAACATAGCTTGCAACAGCCTTGTCAGGGAGAAGTTTCTCCATAAATCTTTCCATCTCCCTAATTTCTGAAGAAGGCAACTTCTTCCATCTCTCTTCCTCCTCCTCTGCAGCAAGATTCTGAGCTGCAATCTGTTGCTCTTCCTGCTGAAACTCTTGCAGCTCCTCAGTGGTGAGCTCTTCATTGTGGTCTTCCACCAACTATTCCACATCCTCCAAACTCACATCCAACCCCATGGAATTCCCCAGTGCCACAATAGATTTAACAACAGACATAGGCTCATCAGGGTCAGCCCCAAACCCTTCAAAATCCCTCTTGTCGACACAATCTGGCCACAATTTTCTCCAAGCAGAGTTCAAAGCCCTGGTAGTCACTCCCTCCCAAGCCATACCTATAAGGGTTATGTAATGGAGGATGCTGAAGTGTTCTCTCCAAAAATCTCTTAGGGTCAAGTGAGTGTCTGAGGTCACATTCAAGCACCTTTGAAACATTGCTTTGGTGTAGTTTTTTTAAAGTTTGCAATGACCTGCTGGTCCATGGGCTGGAGGAGAGGAGTAGTATTCGGAGGCAAGAACTTTACTGTGATGAGCCCAAACTCCTCGAAAATTAGGTCATCCAAGTTTGGAGGATGAGCAGGTGCATTGTTCATTACTAGGAGGCACTTGAGATCCAATTTCTTTTCCAGGAGGTAATTCTTCACACTAGGCCCAAACACTTCATTGAACCACTCGACGAAAATGTCCCTCGTGACCAATGCCTTATTATTAGATTTCCAAAACACACAATTTACTCTTCATAACATTGTTTTTCCTGAACACTCTGGGATTTTCAGAATGGTACACTAGTAACGGCTTCACTTTGAAATCCCCACTAGCATTAGCACAGAACATGAGCGTCAGCCTGTCTTTCATAGGCTTGTGTCCTGGCAGTGCCTTTTCCTCCTGTGTAATGTAGGTCCTCTTTGGCATTTTCTTCCAAAAGAGGCCTGTTTTGTCACAATTGAACACTTGTTCAGGTTTCAGTCCTTAAAGCCTCTATGTACTCCTTGAATTCATGCACAAAATTTTTCAGCTTTGTGGTCCGAACTGGCAGCCTCACCATGCCTTACCACACTGTATATGCCACTACGGTTCTTAAATCTCTCAAACCAACCTTTGCTGGCCTTAAATTCACTCACATCACCGCTAGTTGCAGGCAATTTCTTTACCAGATCGTCGTGCAACTGCCTAGCCTTTTCACAAATAATCGACATCATAATACTATCTCTGCTGTTTATCCACACCAATAATAACTTCTCAACCTCTTCGAGTACTGGTGATCTCATTTTGTCAGTATATTTACCCCCTTTGCAACAACAGTGTCCTTGATTTCCTTTTTCTTGGCCACGATGGAAGATATGGTTGTATAGGGTTTGTTATACATCCTGGCCAGTTCGACCACATGTACGCCACTTACATATTGTTCAATGATGTTTTTCTTAAATTCAATCATATTTCTCACCTTCTTTACCAAAGGCTTGGCACTAGGAGCTTTCTTTGGAGCCATGGTAGCTTATTTAGTACTTGCAAGCACTAAAATGAATGGAATATTATGAATATTTCGTATGAGCAAGTGAGGGGACCGTCGCTCACTGGTAAACAATGCCACACTGACTGGGAAGGAAGGCCGCCCCGGCTCAGTGCGAGTACGTGTCCCGGACAAATTACTATTCGCGAGT